GCACAGGTGCGCCTTAGGCTGACCACAATTAAAGGCCACTCTAAAATGTCCATTTTATCACACAGCACAACGCCACAGATGTTGCAGGGAGTGTGCAATTGACATGACCCCATCTGTCAATCAATAGGCTTGTCAGCAACGGACCGACTGGCGATTGCAATTTGTCCTGAAGTGAAACGCTCCTTACCTGCAGGAGCTGCACCCCCTTTACCTCCAACAACATTGTCGGGGTTTTGCATTACAAACACTACAGTCATTGGGATTTCGTGAAAAATCATTGGATAAAATAGTTAAATGTCGTCAGTGAGGAACATGCAACTCAAACACGCATCACACTGAGCGTTTAGAGGGTGGACAATAGTTTATTCCATTTCCAAAACCTAAACAGAGTCTGGAAAAATGTAAAAGATGGATAATGGTGGTCAACCTGATGGGAAGCTGAATAGGACAGTGATAAATGGGAACTAACGTTTGTCTGAACGAAGGTAAATGCAAGGAAATCTTACATTTTTTGTAATAATTACATTTTATGTAAACGTTTAAAGCTAGTTGTGCGATGTTTGGTGTGTTTTGTATGTACATGTATGTTGCAACTTCTGGCTGTCTTTGTTTGCTATGATCCGTTAACACTAAACTGATCTTGCACAAAGATAATATTATTATTAATTAATAATATTATTAATAATATTATTAATTAATAATAATTATTAATTTATTAATATGTTGTGTGATGTAAAAATTTGCACTCTTAATACAGACTGAATTTCACTGTGACTTCTTGTCCTACATGTCTGTGACAAGAAAACATGTACTGCAGTAACTATTTTAAGTCATTATATTTGATTTTTTTTGTCTTCTTTGCCTTGTTGGATGTAACTGGGACCCTGTGTACATAGTTTTGTTCCACCTCATGTATCACGTGTGGTGTGTATGACAAATACATCTCTCTGACTTACTGTTGGCTCATAAGGCAAAAATGCCTCAGGTAACGCCGTGAGCTTCACTACCTCACCATTGCATCTATCTTGCTTGTTTGTTTGTCGGAGGTTATGTTTCTGCATGGGCAGAGCGATCTTACCATTCGTGTCATGTCGTGTCAATTGGCATGCTGACTGCAGGAATGTCTACCACATGTTGCTTGTGAACTGAATGTTCATTTCTCTATCATAAGCCATCTCCAAAGGCGTTTCAGAGAATTTGGCAGTACATCCAACTGGCCTCAAGTAAGTAGATATCAACTTACACTACAGACCACATGTAACTACACCAGCCCAGGATCTCAACATTCAGTATCTTCACCTTCATGGTCATCTGAGATCAGCCACCCAGACAGCTGCTGCAACAATCGGTTGCACAACCAAAGAACTTCTGCACAAACTATCAGGAACAGTTTCCGGGAAGCTCATCTGCATGCTCATCATCCTCATCGGGATCTCCACCTGACTGCAGTTCATTGTTGTAACAGACTTGAGTGGGCAAATGCTCATATTTGATGGCGTGTGGCACATTGGAGAGGTGTTGTGTGGCCAGTTGCATGTACAGCCAAATTATCTGAACATGGGCATTCCTGCAGTCAGCATGCCAACTGCACAATCCCTCAAAACTTCCAACATCTGTGGCATTGTGATAAAACTGGACATTTTAGAGTGGCCTTTTATTGTGGTCAGCCTAAGATACACCTGTGCAATAATGTTTAATCAGCATCTTGATGTGTCACACCTGTGAGGCAGATGGATAATCTCGGCAAAGGTGAAGTGCTCACTAGCACAGATTTACACACAGTATGTGAACAATATTTGAGAGAAAAAGTCTGAGATCTTTGAGTTCAGCTCATGAAAAATGGGAGCCAAAACAAAAGTGTTGGTTTATATTTTTGTTCAGTGTATTTTTCCAGATCAATGATGCATTCCGTTTTTTTAAGACAAGGAGCAAACTTATGGTTTTGATTTTCAACCTAAAAATAAACATTTTAACTTTTTCCAATGCGACAAATGCAGTACATATACTGTACATCTATACATTTGTGGCACAGCTGCTACACTGCTTTTGACTCAACGGGCTACTGTTTTACATTTTACTAAAGGAGGTGATAGGTTTGTCAACTGTTTATTAAAAAAACAAAACAACTGAGTGATTTCTCACAAGACATTTGATACAACTTTTTGAATTCTTGTGTCTTTTTTTGTTTAGTTTTATTGCTTGTGATTTGACTCGTGGTCTTTATCTGCTGTGTGTTTGGCGCCACCTTTTGAATGGGAGTTTTATCACCGTGGTCAGCGTGCACGCCTCAGTGCACGGTCACATAAACCCAGGCTGCCCATGGTCATCTGCAACAGGACCCATCAGACCCTCGCTGAGGCAGCAGAGTGCAATGCAAGAATTACATCTTATTGACAAATCATCCAAATCTGGATTTGGATGAACATATTATAAATGTTTTATACTTTGAACATGTTACCTTTGCCATTTTCTCCATCTCTTCCAACCCCCTACATGTCTTCCATCTTTCCACCATTATGAGCTGTGTGTGTTTTTGCGTAACAGATTTACCTGTGATGGTGGGGGGGTCTAATTTACTTGAACAGCAAACCAGATCTAATTCTCATTAACACAGTTTAATAAAAGACCTTTCAGCTTAGCTAAAGAGCTCCATGTGAGTAAGTGCTGCGTGCAAGAAAAGAATGACGACTGTCAATGAAGGAGGCACATGGCCCAATTAGGCTCAGCGTCAACTTCTCACATAGATAATGCCAAGTTGGCTGCGGGAGGAGAGAGGGAAACGTGAGGGAAGGAGGACAGTGGGGAGTGAAAACGTCCGAGTGAAGTCCAAAGAGAAGCAGGTATTTCTGGGAATATGTATACATAAGAGTGTTCTTTACCATACTGCTTGTGAACTCCAAGTACACATTTCAACATAAACTCGTAGCCATTAAGTCTTTAAAAAGAGCAGTAATTTGTCAGCGTTTGACATCAACTCAAACAGATGAAAAAGAACTGGCACAAACGGCGCATCGAGAATCATTCAAAAGAGACGATCCAGCGCGGCAAACATTAGGCTCTGCGGTTGGCTGTCAAACTTGTCACCAGCTTAGAGTTTTCAGATAAAACGTATACACTCAAGTTGGTAGAAAAAAAACAAGACTGTTTCTGTGTGGTGGCTGCAAAGTGAGCTTTACCCCCAAACACAAAAACACCCAGCCCTCAGCACATAACACACATTTTCTGCAACTCGTTGTACACAACTGGGTCCAATAATTGTCTGGAAATCAATAGTGGCGCATTGTGAGTCGTGAGCGGCCGCCGCCTAACCTTGCACCATGCAGCTGTCTCCCCCAATCAAAGCCGGTCTGGTTTCCACAGCAACCTCAATCCCACATCTTCCACATTAATAAAAGGGTGTGTGTGTGTGTGTGTGTGTGTGTGGAGTGGGGGGCATGGCACTGGGGGTGCAGCGCTGAAATGAAGCTTGGAGAGAAAGGAGGGAGTTTCAGCTGCGCCTCGCACTCAGCGATGGGACTCAATCAGATTGAACAAACTAAGCTTCCTTAAAAAGAAAAACACCCCACTGCCATCAAGATTGTGTTTATCTCATTCCAGTGACAAACCAGATTCAAAACATCTCATAAAGCCTATTCTTCCACTTTTTTCACCCATTGTACTCTCGTATTCAATATATTTGCAAAATATCCTTGATATTTCTCTAATTCGAGTGACTTAATTAAAGGGGATGGGTTTCTAATAAAAGCCAAATGGCAGATAGCAGAGCTTGGGCTTTCCAGGAGCTTGTTTAATCAAAGAATTGCTGAATGGGAGAAGGCAATAACAGATTGAATAGAGGCTGGTATTTGTAAAGAAATGTCAGGGAGAGAGAAAGGATATCAGAGTCACAGGCTGAAACCTTTAATATGATGCTGCCTTTAATATAAGTAATGTGTGTGCGTCTGATGGGTCAGAGCAGACTAGTAGTTGGAAGTGAGGTTTGTAGTTTAATGCATTCTCAAACTCGCAGAATCCCAGTTACTTTCATCCACGTTCCTTTTTCCTCTCATTTTACTACATTTGTGTAACAGCGTGCGCATCGTATGGATCGGTCTGTGCCATTGTGGACGTCATGATCGATGCTGTGGGGGCAAGCGGGAGTCAAACTGCGATCAATAGATCACTCCTCACAGCTATCATTAACAAACACACTTTGCTACATCGTCACTGACAGCCACTTGTGTGAACGTGCGCTCAGACTGAGCAACGAGCACGTGGCTGTGTGTTCAAAGACCGCCGAAACTGTACGTTTGCTGTACGTGTGCGTGCGTACGGCGTCGACGCGTGGATGCGACAAGTCTGTCATTCCGAGGGTGACCAGCCATGTCCATATAGTGGAAACCCACACACACACAGAGGAAGGGGTTTACGTGTGTACCGCTGCGAGCTGTAGCTCTGTTTGCTGACCTTCAGGGTTATCTGGAAGGTTCCTCCACACCTTGCCGCTGGCACAAACCCCCGCTGTCGCTATGGAAACGCAGCTAGCAGAGACAACGTGCGAGACATCCGGCGCGATGCTCAAGTGAAATCACTTTTTTACAAGCACCTATAGATGACAGCGGGCACGCTTACGATTGCAATCTACAGGAACAACACACACCCTCTTTAACACATCACGCACAAATCTCTGCATCCGTCCTCCATTCATCTCTCATTTCCTTCACTCACCTCTCCACAAAATCAAGCCCCGTGGGTCTGCACAGCTTTGTCAGAAGGGTACACACAACCCCATTTTCAGTATTGGAAGCATTATTAGCTTGCTGCGACAAGGGACAGTCTGCCACCTAACACACACACACACAGAAAGAACACAACAGTGTCATCACCACCGGATCACTGGAATTTATTTCAGCAGCAGCAGCAGGAGTTCTGGCACAAGTTGACAATAAATCAACTCATCTGACACTCTGAAGTGACAAGTCAAGGCAATACAGAAAAAAGGAGAAAAAGTGCGATTGGGGAAAAGGTAAGAGTTGATCCATCATGGTGGCCCCAACGAATGGCTGGACAGAGAGGCGATATGGAGGAAAAAACATGGACGGATTTGATGCGTTTTCATTTTCTTCACTTCTTCTCCACTCGCTCGTGCTTTTTTCTTTGCACGTCTCAGCCGTGATTCGTCAAAGGGCTCTGAAAAAAGTGAGAAGAAACACAAAGAAGGGGGTGGGAGAACAAGGAGAGAAGCTGTCAAATTAGGAATTTACATCACTGGAAGCAAAAAGGGAAACTCAGTTCCCCTCCACCAAAATACAGCCTCTGTTACGTCACACACATTTACCATAATAACAAGAAAATTCACGATTCAAATATCTGTTGCAGCTTCGTTTCACTGCAGGAGGCGATGCTGTTTTACCCTGAAGGCACGGCTCATTAGTCAGAAACTTGCTCTAACAGGAAGAGTCTGCAAATCAACAAAATAAAGGTTCAGCTAACGAACGAAGCTTCTGTCAATCTAACTGTTGATTTTTATGACATTTTTCTGATTGTTTTTTTTATATATATATAGAAAGTATTGTCTAACTGAATATAGACTCATTTACTTATAGTCATGCACAGATTTACTCAAATGAAAAAGTAATAAAATAAACATAAATGTGTTTGCTTTTTGCTGGTTAGAAGAGAGGTAAGGTCAAATATGAAGCACTGAAATTTTTAATTCCTAAATTAGGAATTCAATCACATAAACAGTCTCCAATTTTTTATTTTTTATTTTTTTGGGGGGGGGGGAATGAAAAATAAACAAACATGACGCATACATATTCACATGCAGATAGGTATTTTAAGTTTTAAAGTTGTTGTGCTGCATGAAAGTGTTCATGGTGCAGTAGGACTAAAGCAACTTGGGGCAAGTTGAAGATAAAAACCCTTGAACAAGGCAACAGAAACACACACAAAAAGATGAAGGTAAAACAGATTTATTGGTGCACTTCATTTATGCTGTTCTGAGTATTTTTTTTAGAGTAAAGAGCTGCAAAGCTCCACCATCTGTAACAGTATTAGTACAACATGTACAAAGCTTTGACATCCAAAGAAGTAAATGTTGAGAGAGTCAAAGGTGGAAACGTGGACATGAGTCATCCTCCTGCTTTTATGTAAGATCATATTTATGTGGTCCAAACATCATCTGGAGAGATGAACGTCCACCCTTCAACTGATGATGTCATCAATCAGAACTGAGCCTGTTCTGATTCGTTGAGACTGCTGTTGGACATGTTCAGTATCAGGGACTGATTCCAAGCTAATCTGTTGGAAACATGAACTTTGGGCTCCACTATTCTAACCCACCCTGGATACGACAAAGTATTTTTATGTGGGTCATCTCATCAGGTACCGGCTGGACCCATGACCATGAATCCTCCACAAAGTGGGTCATATACAAATAACAAGCACGTGCAGACCACGAGCTGCTGGTCATTTCCTCAGAGAACTGGAATTGTTTCAGTCACAATTTTGCTTTTTGTCTTTTATTTTTAGTCATCAAACTAAACAATATGCAAACCTTGTACTCATTTTTACTACACTCTTTCCTTTATTACCTGGCTGTAAGCATACACTGTATATGCCTTTAAAGAGAGGGTCTGTTGCACCCTAAATCAGTTCTCAACTTGACTCTACTGGCTCTTGAACTGTTTTTAAACAAAAACGCATGAGCTGAGCTAACACTGGATTTTAAACTGCCTACCTCTCTGTAAAAATCATCTAAAAGCCTTAGAGATGATTGACGGAGAAGGCTTGGAGCTCACTGGAGACGCACAGTCCTGGAAAGCAGTCTGTGCTCTCGCTAGGCCCCCAAGCAGCCACAATAATTCACAGATTCGGTTCCTCGTCTCATAAAAGCTGGTTTATTAATTAAAATCCTCCTTGTCTGGTACGTTTGCATGTTTCCAAGGAAAGGATACGCTTGTTAGCCAAACATATTGTTAAATAGGTGAAAATAGGTTTAGATCTCCCAGAAATAGCTGGATCAATAACTGCTTGATTTTGGTCAAAGTGTCTAAACATCCATTTTTTTAAACTATTAACAAAGAAATGCTGAGAATAAAGTTATATTGTTGAAACCTGAGTATTTATTTACTGATCTATAATTGTTGAGTTTGTTGTAAATGGTTGGAATTTGACTTTGGGTGTCTGTATGAATTATACTTGTATTAGATAATGATTTGTAATCAATACAACATGTATCTAATATCTGAAAACTTTATTAGGAGTTTGTTTTTTTCCATTGGAAAAGAAAAAAAAAAATTTAAGTTAACAAACATTTGAATAAATATTTGTTTTAACCTCCCCTTCTTGACAGAATCCATTTTTTACTTTGTGTAGAAGTCATTTCCTTGCGTTATTTGCTCTATCTAAGATATTTACCATTAAATATTATGTGATGCAAGCACAACTGGTTCAGAAAAAACTTGTTTTGTGGAAAAAAAGATGATCAAGATTGTTAGTTATGTGAGTAGTTGATTTTTTTCTAATTAAATGCACAATACTTCAAGAAAGAAGACAAACTTATTAATAAGATATTTACTTTCATTAAAACAAAAAGCAAGAACAAAAACAACAACAAATAAATCTCACATCAGAGGTTTTAATGGCAAAGCAGACATCTAGACAGATTTACTGTAGGATTCTTAGCCTTAGTAGAATAGTCTGTCTTTAATACAAACTTTAGTTGCCAAATTAATTTCAAAGAATACAAAACATCTAGTTGAGCTTTCCTCATTTTGGAATTAAAACTGTGCACATTAAAGAAATATTACAAGCAGCTTTGCAGAATTTTTTAAAAATCAAATTTATTCCCAAGTGACTTGGCAGCTTTTTTTTTTTTTAAAAAGATACAATTAGTAAGTGTTGTGGTACATAAATGTCGAGTAAACAACATGAAATAGCAGTTGTTCTTTAGAAAGCTGGTTTAGTGCAGAGTGGAACCGAACGCTCCTTGTTTCACTACATGAACACTCAGTCAGAGGAAGAGACACGGGGCGACTCAGGGTTAGTGAAGCATTAGCTTGTGGCTGAAGGGTGGGCTAGTTGGCATGCTAACTGCCTCTGTGCTCGGCTGGCAGGCAGATTTGCTGGCGGGCAGGTTAGCTGTTCACTTGCCAAGTGCATCCGAGGGCATCGCAGGCCGTGCCTTTGAATTGGAGATGAGTGGCAAATGTGACAAGAGGATTTAACGTTACTGTTCCACTCCCGTCCTGAGATATAAAAGAGGGGGCAGTGTGTGTCTGCATGTGCGCGTCAAAACTATTTGTGTAAAGGTGGCTGCTATGTGTGCAGGCGTTTATTTAGAAGATGGTGTGTGTGTGTGTGTGTGTGTGTGTGTGTGTGTGTGTGTGTGTGTGTATTAAAGGCATTGTGTGGACAGGGTTGTTGGTATTGCTGCACTTTTGCACATTAAATCTAATGCATAGTGTATGAAGCGGCTCCTGATTTTCAACTTGACCCCTAGCACCTCCCACAGTGCACACAGCTCAATTTGGTGCCCCAGGTCCAAAGCTGGACTCCTGCCATCCACACTTGGATAATTTAAAGACAGGAAAAGCTTTTTGTGCACAACACCTTGAACAGCGAGGGCAGCCAAATATTCCACCTCAAGGTCTGCGCTGAATTTTAGCTGCTGCTTTATTAGGAGCAGCAAGCGACAGCGTCTGCATTTTAATAGAACTGCAATGAAAGAAAGACCAGGTTACAGTGTTCACAAACCACCTGACAGTTCCACTGCAGTGTCAGAGTTTTACACCAGATGCCAGTCTCTTTTTAGAGTCAACCAAGTGATCTATAGTCATTTATATAATATAAATGGTTCATATAAATTATATTAACCTTTTTAAATCTGTTGAAACATTATTTGAATTGTATAAGAATCAAAGCTGACCACATATGCAGTAAAATTAGACAAAAGTCCTGAAAGACACAAAAATTCAAATCCACATTCTTCCACCTGCCAGTTTTTATCCAATTAGTCAGAAATGTGAAAAGGAAACAGAAGTCATATCTGTGACAAATGTGTTTGTTTGCTGGGAATAAGCTTTGTTCATCAACTCTGTGAAAGCAACAGTGTGTTGACACTTCTACAGATATAAGCTAATGGGCAGTGTACACACAGCAGAGACATCTGCAGCAAACAGAAGAAGGCCTTACTCTCTCTCTCACACACACATCAGACTTGCTCACTTGTCTTTTCCCTGTGAAAAACAAAACAGACAAGTAGAGAATCAATAACTGTCTTCTCAGCTCAGTGCTAACAGCACTCAGCTCCTGCCTTCACTCTGAGGGGACAGAGACTGTGGCCAGAGCCGACAATCAGCCACCCACAGCCACTGTGGCTATGACTGCTTTATAAACATTATGTATTGACGATTAATGATGATATTCAATGATTGTACAGCAGCCAGTTGAAGAAACCGGCAAGCTGACTGGTTATAAGAAGAAAACAAACAACTTCAGCTGATATTTAGGAAGGGAGCAGAAGCTAATTTCTTGATAAACATGCTGCTCTGATTAGGATTCCTGGGGCAGATTATTGATGGCAATACTATATTAAATACTAATAAACATTGATAAGTTATTGGACAGATATTGACCACTATGCATATAGTAAAGAAAACTAAGTAGTAGTATGTATGCAGTAGCAGCTGCTACAACCAGCTCAGCTCAGTCCAGAGTTTAGTTCTGTAAGTGAGAATATTACTTTTACAAGTTCTTCTAAGAGTTGTTAAATATACACTTAGTTAAGTAAATTATTTATTTATTTTTGGTAAATGAAAAATAAACAAAAATTGGTGTAGCGTCTGCAGTATTGCAGACTCTGTGCCGGTCCGTTGTGGTGAAGAGGGAGCTGTAAGGCGAAGCTCTGTTTACTGGTTGGTCTACGTTCCTACCCTCAACTATGGCTACTAACTCTGGTAAGGATGCTCCCTGGGCACCTCCCTAGGGAGGTGCTTTGGGCATGTCCAACTGGGAGGAGACCCTGGGGAAGACACAGGACACAATGGAGAGATTATGTCTCTCGGTTGGCCTGGGAACATCTTGAAGTCCTCCCTGAAGAGTTGGAAGAGGTGGCTATGGAAAGAAATGTCTGGACCTCCCTGCTCAAACTGCTGCCCTCGTGATCTGACTTCAGAACAAGCAGA